CAAACTCTGTTAATAGTATCTGGATGAGAGGAGACATGAGGTGACAGATGAGGGTCAGACATATATATATATACACACACCCTGAATCTTAGCTTCCAGTTACAGTGTTGATGCACTGCACTTAAACACTAAAACCACACATATGCATAAACAAAAAGGACAGAAATCACAGCTCAGAATATCTTGACTGAAGTCCTCTTCCCTTTATAACATTTAACACTGATCCACTTCCAGTATTAGCATGACTACCAGACCAATCCGACCCACTGCTCTTTGTTTATGTAAATTATTGTTTGATGTGAATATTTTGAAAAGCTACTATCTTTCTTTAGCAGTCTTAAGGGTAATTCACACTGTACTGTCAGATGCCAACCAATGCCAACAACCACCAGATTACTGTACGTCAATCCACTGACATTCTGCAACCTGACAGCTGCTGTTCAACAGTAACAGATGCCAACATGGGTAACGCACACTGATCCAACAAAACCTGACAAACATGTCTGTTGGTGTTGGTCGTCATCTGACTGTATAGTGTGAATAAAGAGAAACAGCATTCTAGATTAATCCCAATAATTGTAAGAGTGTATCTAAAATCAGCTCGCCATAAAAAATGCAAATAAGTTTTGACATTAAAATTAATTTCAGATTACAGAATAAAATGTGTTAAAAAAATTATAAAATTAAATAAAAAAATAATAAAAATACAACACTGATCTTTAACACTGATATACAAAATGAGTAATTAAATGTAATATTTATCATATTTATTTAGTAGTTAGAACGGTACTGGGGGTACTTCCAAGTAAAAAAAAATTTAAAAGAAGATGTGCGTCCCTAAACATCTGGTCTGTACAAGTGGATGTTTGATTACAAAACAAATGCTTGCAAATGTGCTTGTAATGCAAAGGACAATTTTATTCTGTATATTTATATGTGCATTATGCCCCAGCATTGTTATTTGGGAACATCACTGTTTCCATGGATTCATCACGCACCTCAGTCTACCCCTGCTCTTGACCTTTGATCTCTTTGACCCTGACGTCATTCAGTGCACTGTGGGGGTTTGATATTGAGCAAAAGGTTTATTATGTGTCCCATGAGGCCTTCTTTAATGTCCCATTTTTATGAGCAGTTCTGACACACACACACACACTCTTGCCTCTTGAGGTTTCCCAGTTTCTCATATAATCAGCACAACCCAGGAAGGGGAGTGGGGCAGCAGGTGCAGGGGACTTGACTGACACATGATTGACAGGAGGATTGTCTGCTTTTGAATGTCAGCTTGGATAATTATCAGAATCCGTAAGTAAATGTCACACTGATAAGACAGTAACGTGGTTTAACAAGATATTGTAGTTTTTGTTTTTTGTTTTGCTTTGACACACAGACTCCCACCTTTTGTCTATTAAGCGCAGGAAAGATGAACAGGTTATGATATGTTTTTATTTTAGTATTTGCTTATTACTGATAATTAGCAGACCTATTTTCATTTTGAACACCCAGAACAACATCCTCACAGCAAAATCCTTAGCAAAACCTTCAGAACATCCTAACATCCACATAGCATCTGCATATGCCCTGGCAACCAGCCAGAACATCCTAGCACTGTTGTACAAGCAAGCATCAGTTACTCTTCAGAAAATGTGGGGGGAAAAAATATGACCAAATTGTTATTTACTTGTTTAACTTTGATACTGTTGTTAATTGATGCATTATGTGATTGTCATAGTATTGTAGTCATTTTATTATTTTTATATACAGCTTGTATAAATACTATAAATACCTAACCCTAACCTTATTATACCCAGGGGGGCAAGTTGTTACACAACAACAACACATTATAAGTAATAATTAAAAAAATAACCAGGACAATAACAACAATATAAAAAATGACATATTCTACTACTACTACTAATACAAATAATAATATTAGCCCCTGGGACAAAAGAGTTTTCTTACGTCTATTCATCCTACATATTGACAGAATGTATACTGTCAGATGGGAGCAATTTAAATTATTCAAACAATGACTTGCTAAAATCAAAATTGGGTATTTTTACAACTCTCCTCAAATGGAGACTTTGTCATATCTAGTTAACTTCTGGGTACAAATGTGTCCCCAAAATATGGTTAAGTAGGTAGAAGCAGGGTTTAAATTGGGCCACGGCCGTCCAGGGCTCGACATTAACGCTTCATTAACACCAGACAAGTAACATGATTAAAACCTCAGTAACCAAAAATATTGTCATAGTATTGTAGTCATTTTATTATTTTTATATACAGCTTGTATAAATACTATAAATACCTAACCCTAACCTTATTATACCCAGGGGGGCAAGTTGTTACACAACAACAACACATTATAAGTAATAATTAAAAAAATAACCAGGACAATAACAACAATATAAAAAATGACATATTCTACTACTACTACTAATACAAATAATAATATTAGCCCCTGGGACAAAAGAGTTTTCTTACGTCTATTCATCCTACATATTGACAGAATGTATACTGTCAGATGGGAGCAATTTAAATTATTCAAACAATGACTTGCTAAAATCAAAATTGGGTATTTTTACAACTCTCCTCAAATGGAGACTTTGTCATATCTAGTTAACTTCTGGGTACAAATGTGTCCCCAAAATATGGTTAAGTAGGTAGAAGCAGGGTTTAAATTGGGCCACGGCCGTCCAGGGCTCGACATTAACGCTTCATTAACACCAGACAAGTAACATGATTAAAACCTCAGTAACCAAAAATAACTATGTAAACACCAAAACGCAAGTATTATTCTGATTTTATTACGTTTAGAGTAAGTGGCGAATAGTGGATATAGCTACTGCATATAATGCATCTATTGACAGTATAAGGGTGCGCTGCTGAGGCGAGGCTCACTCAGCCTCTCCAGGAGAAATAAAAACGCGCAACACAAAGAAACTAAGCATCCTGAAGTAAAAATTCAAAATGGAAAGTTTTTATATTTAAAATAGTTAGTTAGGCAACGTCACACAACGTTTTCACCATTACGACTGTTTAATAGTTCTATAAACAGTTCAATAAGCAAATACAATATTAGGTCACTTACATTTTAGGCGGAAACACAGCGCATCTCACAGCAACCAGCCGATTTCATTGCTGATTGATTCCGTGTTTTGAACGAATCGGTTGAATCAAAGTTTCATTAGTACATGAATAAACATCTGATGAATCTGCCGTTTGAACGAATCGTTTGAATGAACGACTCAATGACTCACTCATTAAACGCTCACTACTGGCACCTACTGGCGTTTT